GTATGACCATCTAATTTGGCTTTTTATTATCCTGTTTTGACATCCCATAGACGGATAGAGTTATCCCTACTACCAGAGGCTAATGTATTTCCATCATGAGAGAAACAGATTGACCGGACATAACTAGTATGACCATCTAATTTGGCTTTTTATTATCCTGTTTTTACATCCCATAGACGGATAGACTTATCATAACTACCAGAAGCTAATTTATTTCCATCAGGAGAGAAACAGACTGACATAACTAAATTACTATGACCATCTAATTTGGCTTTTTATAATCCTTTTTTGAAATCCCATAGACGGATAGAGTTATCATCACTACCAGATGCTAATGTATTTCCATCAGGAGAGAAGCAGACTGAGTAGACAGTACTAGTATGACCATATAATTTGGCTTTTTATTATCCTGTTTTGACATCCCATAAACGGATAGAGTTATCACGACTACCAGAAACCAATGTATTTCCATCAGGAGAGAAACATATTGAGTAGACAGAATTACTATGACCATCTAATTTGACTTTCAATTTTCTTGTTTTTACATCCCATAGACGGATAGACTCATCCATACTGCCAGAAGCTAATATATTTCCATCAGGAGAGAAACAGACTGAATTAACTTACTAATCATGACCATCTAATTTGGCTTTTAATTATCCTGTTTTGACATCCCATAGACGGATAGAACAATCATCATCTCTATACTCTCCACCACCTCCAGATGCTAATGTGTTTCCATCAGGAGAAAAATAAACTGTTGCTACATCATCTCTATGACTCTTTATTTTATACAATTCATGGATTCTTAAATCTTTCCATTTACAATTAAATAATTATGCTCCATTCAGATTAATACCACTTATGTCAACATTATTAAATTAGGATCCACTTAAATAACATCTACAAAAATTAGCTCCTACTATAGATGTATTTTAAATCTTAATATTTTCAAAATTTTTCTTTCTAAGGTCCACCTTCATTGCAACTAATATATGTAATGAATTAGACCCACCCTATATTAAAGCTTCATCAATGGATGTGAGGTGAACTAAAAATTAAAGTAATTCTTATATCTATTTATTATCATTGATGCTTTAAATTAAACTTAGTTTAGATTCTTCATTTTCTTCAGAGGAAATGTCTTAGTTATTGAAGTCATGACCTTTTAATTTTCTTAAAACTTTTGTGATTTATTTGATATCATTTCTTACAATAGACAATTTCTATTCTTTATCAGCCTGGGTGATATCAACTCCTTTTTGTAAGATACATGATTCTAATTGGCTTTGATTTCTGTTATCTGAAAGATATCCAATGATGTCTAAAACTTTTTCATTACTCAATTTATCTAATATGACACCAAAGATTTGTATATCTACATCTTTTATATGACCAAAGATGTCAGCTAGAGCTTCCTTCTCTTAAAAATGGGCTTGCATATTCTTTTTTATTTTTAATAACGAATTTCTATTACTCTAACTTGAAGTTATATACTGCAAAAT